ATATATTATACACATAATTTATATAAAAAAAATATTTTATATATTATATATATTATATATTTTATATATTTTATATATATTATATATATATATTATATATATTCTATGTATAATATAGTATATATATAATATATATATTATATATTTTTATATACTTTTTTATTTTTTATATTATATATATATATTATTTTTTATTTATTATATATTCCATATTTATATATATATATGTTATTTTTTTTGTTTTGTATACAAATATATACAAATATATTTTATATAATATAGTATATATATATACATCATATTATATTTTTATATTTTATATATATTGCATATTATTCATATATGTTATTATATATATATATTTTATTATGTATATTTATATATTATATATTATAAATTGATATTGTATATACGAAGTATACAGTTGATTTGGTTTGATTAGATTTGATTATCCTAAATTAGAGTAGACTAGATCAAAATGGCTTGATTATATAGATTGGATTGGATTGGCTTTGATTAGATTAGATGAGATGAGGCGAGATGAGATGCATGAGGTTAGATGAGACTAGATTAGATTGGATTAGATTAAAAGCTTGGAGTAGATTAGATAAAATTGGATAGATTAGATTAGATTGGATCGGACTGGATGACTGGATGACATTAGATTAGGTTATAGCTTAAACTACATTCGATTATTTAAATAGATAAACGAGATAGATTAGATAGAATAGAACAGAACAGGACAGAATAGGATGGATAGATAGATGCATACACCGGCAGACAGACAGACAGATAGATACAGCAGACAGACATATAGATATAGATAGATATAGATAGATATAGATAACTATAGACAAATATAGAAAAATATAGATAGATATAGATTAGATAGATATAGATGCAATAGATGCAATAGATAAACATAGATTCGATAGTTGTAGATAGATATAGGTAGATAGGAAAAGATATAAAAAGGTATAAACAGATTTAGGTAGATATAGATAGATATCGATAGGTATCGATAGATATCGATAGATATCGCTAGATAGGTACAATGACAGATACAATGACATATGCAATGATAGATGCACTAGAGACAGAGAGATGTATAGATAGATATAGGGAGATACAAAGAGATATAGATACATATAGGTAGATACATATCTAGATAGACATAGATAGATACAATATAGATAGATATAGGTAGATACAGGTAGATATTCATATATATATAATATATAGGTATAGGTATAGGTGTATATATATATAGAGGTATGTAGATATGTTGATTTGTAAATTTGTAGACTGTAGATTTGTAGATGTAGATATAGATGGATTGATTGATAGTTAGCTCAAAATAAAGTTGGCCACATCCTAACCTGACATCAAGTGATCAGGTGAACCTTTTCGGCGTTCTTTTTAGGGGGTGCAATATCACAGCAGCACTGCGACGGTCACTTGTCAAAGGTGACTTCGACAGTTTCATTTGCTTACCGCGTTGGAGTTTCAGGACGGAAAAACCATGGACATCAACGAGGAAACGCCATAGAAGGATGTCTTAAACATGTTTGAACCATTGCGAATGTACCAACATATCGTTCACTGATATTCAATGGGGATATGATCAAGATCTATATAATATTTATATATATATATGTATGTAGAAGGGCTTGGTGGTCTCAAAGCATAGTTTTCAGCGGTTCAACCAATGGGTCGAATTGTCAAATGCGAACCAATGTCAGGTATATAGGAACACCCGTTAAACATCATTATGATGCCAAAAAGCTGCAATTTGCCACTAGTTTTTGAGATGTTGCCAATTTCTGATTGTTTTTTTGGGGATTGCTACAATTTCACATGAAATCTTGCAGAGATTGGAAGCACATTGACCTTGATGGCTGTCTGAAAATCGTGTATCCAGCGAACATATGATAAACAGCCAGTGGGTTTGGGTGTTTTCCCAAGATTTTTAGACAAAGCGCATGAATTTACATGCGTTTGAACTAGTTGAAATGTGCCAAACAAGGTGCTAAACAAAGCCAATCTTACCAGTACCCTTACCAGTGGGGATGATATATGACCCAGTTGAGGAAGATCCATATTGGGGAGGATCACTATCCACGGAGCAGTGATAATCACTTAGAATCATCAACCATAGCTCCAGCTGTCGGTTTTGGATTTTAAAAAACCAGAGCTGAAAGACTTGGACCACAGATTGATGATTTAATGGGATGTTAATGGGATTTTAATGGGATTTTACTGGGATGTTAATAGGATTTAAATGGGTGTTTAATTGGGTTTTAATTGGATTTTAATGGGAGTTTAATGGGATATTAATGGGAGTTTAATGGGATTTTAATCAGATTTTAATGGGAGTTTAAAGAGATTTTATGATGATCAATAGGGATTAATGGAACTTACCCTTTGGTAAACTAACATAGCTATTGACAATGGCGATAGAAATAGTTGATAAATCCCCATTCAAAATGGTGATGTTCAATAGCTTTTTGTTAACGTTTACCAGAGGGTAGCCATTGTTAGGGGTACCCAATGACCCATCCAGATTGGACTGCTCAGATCCATAAGAATTGCCATTGAATGGAGAATATGTAGCCATAAACCATGGGATAGAATGGGATGGAATTCCCCATCATTTTCGGACTAGCTCCCCCCATTGGTTTTTGGGTAGCCCTGGATTTTCTTCCAACTCCAGGATTTGGGAGGTCTACTGAGTATATCTTTGACGTTTTTTTAATGACTCTAAATCGACAAATTCAAGAACTTCTGAACATATATGAACCATACAAAAAAAACTTTCAAGCTTGGTTAGGGCAATCCGGCTGTCAAGAATCACTCGTTTCTGGCAGGTAAAGTCAGACAGTTACTGACATTTGTGTATTGAAGTTGTTTTCCATCACTGGGATGTTTGAGCAAACTTGGCGACAGAGAGAGAAGTTGCAACAAGCACAACAAACCAGGTTGGTTCCCAAAAAGGTATATGCACCCACGCCAAGAGGTACTGACACCCACGTGTGTTTCCATCCCGCAACCCCTGCCCACCAGCTGGCATTGTGTAGCACTGCTGCGGTCTCGCAAGATCTCACAGGCGGTCCATGTTTGCCAGGGAAACTCAACGAACTCATTGGTGAAATTGATCACTCATGTCATGGTTCAATGGTTGCTCCCATACCCCAATCACCGCGGGATCTCAAGAGTTTCCCACACATGGACAGCCCAAAGACTGACCGGAAACCATGGATTGATGCGCCGGAAAAAGCGCAGCTCATCCTAGGCGTGGGGGTAGATTTGCCGCTGCGATCTGATGGGAGCTACTTCAGAACACCTTGAAACTGAAGAGTTGGAAGCCCAAAAACAGGTTCTCTGTCGTAATCAAAGATGGCTGGCTGGGCAACTGCAATCTACTGGGTGCTAGTCCCCTGCCAGGTGTGTATTGCCAGTGGTGCAGCCAAGTTTTTGGGGTTCGACTATGGGTTTTCACTGGAGAGGGGTCGCCAAACTTGGGATTTACACGGCAAACAACACAGATACCAGCCCAACTGTGCAACTTTGTTTTGATCTTCAAACAAACCTCAACAAGTAAATGATACAAACCTCATAGCTGGCCTCATTGTGGATGTTGGTTGGAAAGGGGAGTCGTTTTTACACTGGTCAGCTGCTCTGATTTTGTCAATTTTACGACTCTACTTGTCTATACTTCCAATTACAAAGCTGCAAAATTCCGAGTTTGATTGTTGATGGCTGGCGCCAGCTGTTTGATTTGCCCAGCTGTTTTTTTTGTGTCATGACTTGCGAACTGGGGCCGGCTGGAGTTTCAGAGTTACGCCTAAAACTTCACAATGGTTGGAAACAGCGGAAATTGCTTGCGCTAATTCCTGGCAAGGGCTTGTGGCCAAAAGTAGTTGATGCATTCAAAATTCTTAGTTTCGGCCATGCCAGCCGTGTGGGCACACAGGCACGGTGCCATCAAGCATCGTTGCGTGCGACTTTGCTGGGTTTGTGTCAAGCTGTTGGAATCACTTTTATAGTCTGATTCGCAAAGCCTGTTTGAAGCAAACATTATCAACCAGAAACCGACTATTCCATCCTATTAGAAATTAGAAAGGCTGTTGCCAATATGTCCTCAAAGATGCAGATTTTAACCAATAAAGGTTGTATATGGTTGTATAGTGGGAATATAGTGGGGGATGTTAGCAATACCCTCTGTTGTCCTCAAGTATCGCTTGAACCCACCCAATTAGTTCGATGGTTTTCCCGTATTATACATGCCAACTTAGACTTAGTTCGTCGATTTCCCATTCAGTCACGTTTGATGAATGATCCCAAGGGGTATTTGCGTGTCCATCTTTTTTTTCACCAGCTCAATATATGGGGCTGGGACATAACCAGCTCAATACCATATCTGTGCGGATGAACGTCCATGAGTTTCCCAGCTAGTTTCCCAGCTAGTCTGGTGTCACAGCAGGGGATTCCATGGCTAAACTGACCCATCGCAATATTGCATCATATTTCTATGTCGTAGGTCAGGTCCTGGGCCATTGTTCATCAAAAGCATGCAGAGATCCTGCACCCTGGGGTGAATGAAAGAATCCAAACACGCGGCTTGCTGGGAAATCCAGTATTTAGTTCATTGATTTTCCCAGCTTTTTTAACCCTCCATAGATAGAGGATATTCTATTACGCTTGATTGCTGGATGGACAAATGTCAGGTTTGACTGCTTGTGATGTGAACAGATGTGAAACATGCAACAATCACTTTTCAGGCAGGTGCCCCAAGGCCCTGACAACTTGTAGATGGACACGATGGAGAAATGCATACACATGTATAGACATATCTGCGTGCGTAAAACATATATTATATGCGGCGCATTTGTGAATGCATTTGCAAAAGCCTGCGCCTGCAATTCAAGATTTGCAGAAAGCAGCAACATACCCTCTGTACATCGTGAGTTTTTTTTTGTGATAGATTTTCCCATGGAATGGCGGCCGGCTGATTGTTTTTTCAATGCGCCAGACCATTCCACATCTAGCCACTTTGCTGATGATTTGTGGGCCATCTTTCCGAGAAAAGGGAAAATCCGGTTTGGAAAGCCCACCAGTTGTAGGAGAATTCAAACATCTCCATTGATTCATAAGTGATATACCATGATATACCATTAGCATCCTTTTTTGCTATGGATCCCATTTCCATTTAGTATTGCAAATATCCCATGAATGTCGCCTTTTTCGAAAACGCGAAATCTTCAGGTTCTGGCTATCTCGACTTCAATTCCAGCTGGACTCTTCCTACTGGCGATGCTGATTGGCACTTGGCAGCTCTGTTGGGCCTGGACTTTGTTGGGCGCAGTTCTGTTGGAGCCTTGGCTGCTAATATTATATTAAACTATATCACAGTACATTAGATTACATACATACATAGCCATATCTATCTACAGTATACATACATACATACATACACACATACATACATACATACATACATACACACATGCATGCATACGTACGTACGTACGTACATACACACATAGATATCATAGATATCATAGATATCACAGATATCATAGATATCATAGATATCATTCATAGATATATATTATCATATATATCATTTATATATCATATATATAGATATTTCCTATACATATATATATATATATCACATTTAATATGTATATATATATATATCATATGTATATATATATACATTTGTCATATATATATATATATATATATCATTTATATATCATATATATATGTTTATCATATATATATATATATTTCATATTTATATCTGATTTACATATGTATATATCATATCATATATATATATATATATTATTAGCATTATTATTGTTACTATTATTATTATGTATAAAAGTATGTATATATATATCATTTATCTATTTATATTTCTATATATATATACATATCATATTTATATATATATATCATATACCTTTTTATATATCACAAATATATATATATATGATATATATATATATATCATATTTATGTATATCTCATATATATATATATATGATATATCATATATATATATATATCATATGTATATATATATAGATGTTCTATGTATCCCTTATCTTTTTCAAAAGGTAGATGGTTTCAATACTGCTGTCCCCATGTCCGCACACCACCTCTCATCAGCCGCAGGACACGTGCTGCCTTTGCTTGAAGGAAGTAATCCGCCAAGCGCGGCCAATAGATCCAGCACCTGTAGCATGGCGATAGGGGGCTGACACCCCTGGCACTGGGAAAGTGAGCATATCCTATGGTGGTTTTTTCCTCACATCTTTGTGTTGTATCCCGTCCGCCTCCGCCTCAGCCGCCTCCTCCTCCTCCTCCGCTCCTTCTTCGCACAATTTTGTCACAACTTTGTCACACACACCTCTCTTTCGCACACAACATTGTCACACACAACTCTTTCACATACAAACTGGAACGCGCAAACTTGAACACACAGCAATTTCATACACAACTCTTTCACACACACTACTCTTTCATACACAATTCTTTCACACACAATCATTTTCACACATTTTGTCACACACAACTCTTTTACCGGCATTTTTTCACACATAAGTTTTCACACACGACTTTGATCTTTCTTGCCTTTTCCGATCCCGTGTTCACATATCTTTTGTGCTTAATTATTGGAAGAAGTTGACATGGGGCTATCCAGCCCTTTAATTTGGGGGTTGGAGAGAACGGATTTGAAAAAACCGTGTTCAAACATTTACAAAGGATCCACTGGTGTTTCGCTATCATTTACTTGGGGAGAACGTTCGGCGATACTGCTCCACATCCAAAAACTGAGAGTTTGGTCGATGAATCACCGGTCATCCTGCTGGGCTCTGTTGCCAAGGCATTTGTGCTTGAAAGCGAAGGACTTTATGGCATGCCTTCTGAACACGCTGCCTTTGTGACGTATTTGTTTGTGCATCCTGGCAGATAGTCCGAGCGGGGACGATTTTGCGGGTTCGGCATGCAACCGGTCTTGTCAGTACAAATTCAAGCTGGTAAGAAAAAAATAAGAATTATATAATACAACTAGTAATTGTTTTGGTTTACCTTCGATTATTCAAGAAACAATCCCCAAATGCTTCGAAAGGATTCGGGCATGTCATTGTTTATTTCATCTCTATACATGCCTCCGCCTTGCATTTTTCAGTCGTTGTTTGCTTTGAATTTACGACCCCCCACGCCTGGGTCCTGCTTGCCGCAACTCCACATTGAAACAAAAACAGGGTAACAAGGAAATGTTGTTCTTGATCGGGCAGCCTAGTGGCACAATGGCAACATGATTTTTTGTCGATTTCAAGAAAGTGATGGTTTGTTTGCTGTGGGGAAGTGTTTGTCTGTTGTGCAGGGAATTATACAGGACCTGTGGCCTGGTTCCAGGATTTTCTGAAGTCACTACACCGTTGCGTTGGTTGATGTTGGATGTTTTGCAGGATTGTGAAGAGGGGCAACCAGCCCATTGTTTGTAGATGGGTTGCAGAACAACCCAATTGTTTTCATGTGTATAAGGTTCTCTTGTGGACTTAACTGTGGTGTTTCATGGTTTTCTGCTGGGACAGAAAATAGAGACAACACCTGAAGGTGAATGGTGTGTAGCGAAAGAGCACGGAGAAACAATGTGAAATAATTGCACAGCTGCAGACAAAAACATTTCTTTATTTTCAAGTACATAAACATCCCAACATGTTGCATCACTTTTCAACATCCTCATGCTTCTCTGGCTTCTCTGGGGCGTGTTGCTTTTCATAGTGAGTTTTGTTGATTTGTCAATGTGTTCGCTCTGGTTGTTTGAAGTGCCTCGCCATGTTCAGCCATTCACCCTTTTGCGAAAACCAGCTTGGTTTGCCAAGATTGATTTCAAATGGTGGGGGAAAATAGGTAATCAAGTACAGCAAGTACTGGATTTCGGGGTACCGTATATATCTTATATCTTGAAAATAGAACCACATTCAGTCCCGAAACGACAGGCATCTTGGGATGCGACTGTCGCGCTCCGACTGGGACCGCTTAGCGAAATCAATAGCCTGCCTGGCGCTTGCAACTTGGGGTGCAGCGTTGGTGACTACACGATGCTGGGACATAATGCTGGAGAATCACTGCTGAAAATCTGGATTTGTTTGCAAAATTCAACCCCAGATTCATAAATCTTATGAATTACTGGGGCATTACCTTCAACATAGGGATAAATTACCATCAAAATCGAGGTTGACTAATCTTCGGCTGTCATTACCACATGAAAACCACATGAAGCGCATGCGGTTTTTAATCTGGATTTGCCTTGCAGCGACTGGTTCCAGAGCGCGCCAGCTACTCAGGATACGTTTACGGAGCCCATTCTTTGCCCCAACTTCTGGTTGGTGGAAGCATCGGATCCCTTTCTGAGTTATTTGAGTTAGATTTTCTTATGGGCTCACCAAGTGGAAACCGGAATGACAACCCACACTCTTGAGTCACAAGGGCAACCAGGGCAACCAAAAATGCCAACAGTTACAGTACATGTTTGAAGGGAATCGAACAGGAGGCCGCCGCCACATTTTAAGATGTATGAAGTGGGTGGATCGGACACCCCTTCGACCCCCTAAGGTGGTTCCACTTGGTTTTCTTCACATTTGAGTGTGGCTGAAAATAGAACATACCCTAAATTTGTTGCCATTTAACCAAAGCAACTAGTGCTAACCATTAGAAGTAGGGGGAGAACCCCCGAAATTTCGAGACCCATTCGTCACGATGATCCGTGGCCCTTCTTGGGATAATGATGCATATGGGTCGGAACCAAGCCAAGCCACACATCCGTTGCACGGGTGAGGTACCACTATTTTTGGGCATATGTCCTGTCTTTAAGGATAAACACTTCAGATTTGTTAGTTTAAACTGCACCATACATCCAACCTGTTTGTGAATGTAATTGTCCAAGCATTGGCCTCTAGGATTCCTACGGGCCCTTGCCCAGGTTTCATTGCAGGAAGATGTTGGTCCAACTTGGAGGCAGAACTTCACAGGCCCCTTCAGCAGTGGCAGAACTTCGTCGACTCATCTCGAATTTGCGTCCAAAGTCTGTACGGCTTTGAGGATCATGAAGACTGAGAACATGGCGCCACCTTATCAGAAATTGCGGAGCAGGATGTGCAAGTCCCGGACCCAGTGGACGGTTTTCTTCGGGACTTGTGCCATCTATGAGCCGTGGAGTTTCATGTCTGCAACTGGCATCTTCGAAACATCAGCCGTTCGCAGCAAGTAGACCATGGACATCCATTGGCCGCCATCAAAACAAGACTCCAATCGCCGATCCGCAGTATTCCAAAATGAATCAAAACTGAACATTGAAGTGGTGATGAGTGGTGATTAGCCTTTCTTAGCTTCCATCAAAGCCCACACTAGGGGCTTAAAAAAAGCCCTTGAAAATGTTGGGGGATGACCATGGATGACCTCTGGTGGGAAGTAGCCTTAAAGTTCCATCATTTGAGACTCTCCGATCTGGAGCCATAGGTGTTTAGTTGAAATGACCACCACATGGTTCCTGACTCATTGACGAATGGACGACGGAATGACTGACTGAATAAATGAACAAACGAACAAACGAACAAACAAATGAATGAATGAATTATGAACCAATCATGAATCAATGATTGAATGAATTATGAACCAATCATGAATCAATGAATGAATGAATTATGAACCAATCATGAATCAATGAGGATGCGGTCTATTGAACAGAAGAAGGTATTCAAAGACGTCGGCTTTCTTCTGTGTTGCAGTCTTCAACAAGCAGCATGGTGCATTGTCCGTCGTTGCACAGACATACGATACGAAAATGCAGAGCATAGAGATGCTAGCGCTGCGTGTCTCTGTTTGGTTTCCGTTGCAGCTTTATCTTCTAATAAGAGGAAGATAAAGAATCACACTTCAAAATACAGAGTTCCACTGTTTGGGAAGGTTGTTCGTGGAATATTCCTGGGGAAATTCTCTTCTACGAAAGTGATACTAATTCAGAGGGCGCTGTATTTTGGTGGGTAGCCATTAAATATGCAGTTTATTTTTTTCTGCCATCTCTATTGTCTGTTTTCATACATGTTTCGTTTCGGATGGTCCTGTAGAATGTGCCACTGCTACGCACCCTTTGTTTTTCAGCTTGTATATATATATATTTCATTCAAAGAACGGTGCCCTTCCCATACCGATGGAAGCTTTGGATAAATGTTTGCGTAACAAGGAAAGATTGCTAACGATTGCAAATTGAGGTGTGCAAAACTAATCTTATTTTTTCGAATTTATTGAGATGTCGAAGATAAACCTTGACAAGGGGGTTGGTTCCTTGTTGTCAGAAATCGACATTTTACAAATTAAAGAGATCCGTTCTCCGGAAATAATAGTTGAATAATGTTGAATAGGTTGCGAATCAAAATGCACAGCCCCATCCATATCCCGAATCCTTAGACCGATCTGAGCAGCGTCAAAAACCTCCAAATAAGAAAGTTATATTGTGATGAAACTAAGTTGTGCCTGCAGAAGTGAAACCCACGTCCGCGGAAGCGCTTTCGGAAGCTGTTGCGGAAGCAGATGCTGACCGTCCCATCGCGGAAGGGCCACGGACGATTTATTCATGACGAGCTTGTTGTCGCGGAAGCTCCGCGGAAGCAGAGTCAACTTACCACTCATGAGCGGAAGTTGAAATATGATGAAACTGTGGTCGCGGAAACAGCGCGAAGACCGCGCGGAAGACAAGTAGGATTAGAAGAGAATTATAGATATAGAGATTTTCGCCCCTGCTCATTTATACCCCCGACCCGTACCAAAACGCAGAGACTCCAGACCGATCTACCGCAGATTGATTTATACCCGAATTTATTCGGGCTAATTCTGATTTATCTTGAATAATAATTTTAGATTAATGTAATAATATATTTAAAAAAACAAAAAAATATATATTATTTTATATTGAATAATTAATACTAAAATATAACAGAAAAAAATAAATAACTTCCAAAAGTGACGCGAATATGGGATGTTTGATATATTTTGATTTGGATTTTTTTTTGTACTACAACGGCGTATATTTTTTTGACATCTTAATTTTTAAAAGTGGCGCGATGATGGGGTGTTTGATTTATTTTAATTTGGAAATATATATTTCGCGCTACAACGGCGTGTACTTTTTAAATATCTTTATTTCCAAAAGTGACGCGAATATGTGGTGTTTGGTAAATTTTGACTTGGAAATGTATTTCGCGCCATAACGGCGTATATTTTTTCGACATCGTAACTTCTAAAAGTGGTCCGATCCTGATATATTTTATATATTTTGACTTCGAAATGTGCTTCGCGCTACAACGACGTGTATTTTTTTAACATCTTAATTTCCAAAAGTGGTCCGGAACTGAGGTGTTTTATAGATTTTGATTTAGTAAGCCTACTTTTCGATCCTCCGGAGCCCCAAATTATTGGAAAAACACAGTATTTCGCGCGACTTTGCTACCTTTTTATGCATCTGTATTTTCTTTCTTCTTACTTTTTCTTTTCTACTCTTCTTTCTTCTAATCTTTCTCTTCTCTCTGCCTCTTCCCTGCTCTGCTTTTTATTTGTCCATATTGTCGGAAGTTTGATTTCTAAATTTTCTTCGATTATTCTCATTATACCTATTGCTACTCCTGTTGCTACTCCTATTCCTACTCCTACTATTACTCCTACGGCTACTCCTATTATTGCTTTTCCTGTTACTCCTCCTGCTATTCCTCCTATTATCCTTATTATATCTACTAATATTACCAATACTACCAATACTACCAATACTACCAATGCTACCACTACTATTATTATTACTACTATTACTACTACTCCTACTCCTACTACTGCTGCTATTACTACTCCCCCTTTTCTTATTATTTTTATTATTCTTACTGCTACTGTTGTTGCTACTATTACTTTTACTATTACTAC